ACCCAGTGAGAAAAGGAATATCTTAGCAATATGCCTAATAATTTTTACAAATTTTATTCATTACTAAAACCAATTCCTCCACGCTATTTCACAAAACGATCTCAAGATCGTTAAACATTGCATTTAACTGAAACCACTATAATTTCCTATTCAAACGAACTTTTCTCAGAAACTAGGCGAGCAATCAATTATCCTACATTTTTTACTCATTGTTCCATAAGAAATCACCTGCCGCTGCTCGGTTGTCCTACAATTTCCCGGACACCCGGCTAACGTTTAACATTCAATTTCATTTATCATTCATTACGTCACAATGCCTCCGTCATAATCGCTACGCCGCGATTCACAAGAACTTCCTCCCTAACGCACGAACACAACCGAAAGCCCGGCGAACGAGTTAATTAATCATATCCGAGAACGAGCAAGTTTCATCGGTCAGTTTCTCGTATGAATATATTACGTCGGTGCTACGAGCCACTAGGCTCGGGTCACACGTAGACGAGGTCAGTGTAGCATAATGTCCTTGTGCCATATCGTGGCTCACGTTCTCGTAGAGTAGAGTCGATTGAAACGAAAGCACCAACAAGCTAGAGAAACGAAACCAGGTCCGTGCTCGCAACGCTTCTAGCGAAGATCTTCGCGTTTTGTCACCTCTTTTGGAGGATCTCTCTCTTGTTATCGAGACACACGCCGAAAGTGATAGAACGGCGATACGATTGGCGATTCCGCGAGAAAAAAGGGGCCACCGTCACCAGTCACTACGAACTGTACGGAGAGAGTGCATTCACGGTTACGACAAAAGGCCGTTGCACTCAAGTGCATCGAGCCTGTCGTTATTCGCGGTTCGACGACCCACGATGGACGATTTTTCGACGAATGAAAATCAGCGTGGCAAGGAAGTCTCTCTTGGCTGAGAGGTATTACGAGTTGGGAGAAACGAGAATAAGAGGTAGAAAGTCGGGGAGGATAAGATTGGGAGGAAATGGGAGAGTTGAATGGAAATTCTTGGAAAATAGGATTTCGATGGGCGAGACTCGCGGGAAAGTGGAGTTTAGAAAGAAATTCGTGGAGATGATACGCTGGGAGTAATTTGGGGAAATTTTGTGAAACGAGGAGTGTAGAGTTTGTGAAGAAGTTTGGGGGAAGATTCGCGGAGAATAATATAAGAAATTTTATAAAATAGTAGAAAATAGAATTTTTAAAGAAATTCTTAGAAAGGTTAATAAATGAAAATTGAAGGAAGATTCACAGAGAATAATATAAGAAATTTTATAAAATAGTAGAAAATAGAATTTTTAAAGAAATTCTTAGAAAGGTTAATAAATGAAAATTGAAGGAAGATTCACAGAGAATAATATAAGAAATTTTATAAAATAGTAGAAAATAGAATTTTTAAAGAAATTCTTAGAAAGGTTAATAAATGAAAATTGAAGGAAGATTCACAGAGAATAATATAAGAAATTTTATAAAATAGTAGAAAATAGAATTTTTAAAGAAATTCTTAGAAAGGTTAATAAATGAAAATTGAAGGAAGATTCACAGAGAATAATATAAGAAATTTTATAAAATAGTAGAAAATAGAATTTTTAAAGAAATTCTTAGAAAGGTTAATAAATGAAAATTGAAGGAAGATTCACAGAGAATAATATAAGAAATTTTATAAAATAGTAGAAAATAGAATTTTTAAAGAAATTCTTAGAAAGGTTAATAAATGAAAATTGAAGGAAGATTCACAGAGAATAATATAAGAAATTTTATAAAATAGTAGAAAATAGAATTTTTAAAGAAATTCTTAGAAAGGTTAATAAATGAAAATTGAAGGAAGATTCACAGAGAATAATATAAGAAATTTTATAAAATAGTAGAAAATAGAATTTTTAAAGAAATTCTTAGAAAGGTTAATAAATGAAAATTGAAGGAAGATTCACAGAGAATAATATAAGAAATTTTATAAAATAGTAGAAAATAGAATTTTTAAAGAAATTCTTTGAAAGGTTAATAAATGAAAATTGGAGGAAGCTTCACAGAGAAAATTTACAAAACAGCAAAAAATGTGGTGCTAGCGATAAGAAACCTCTGCTTGGCGCCCCAAAATTGAGTAACACGTAATTCCCCAGCTATTTATTCAAAATACAATCCACACCTAGCACTCATTTCTAATTACTAATTGCTCGTTTGCGGTACGACTAGCAACCTGAACTCTTTCCGCGTAATTTTATAAACGATCCCCTTAATTTGCGACATGATGGATGGCGGACTGAATCTTGCAATCATACTTTACTTCGGCCCGTCAGGTACCAAGCTACAGACGTTTAATCATATTTTACGTCGACACGGTAATGAAACGTAATATTTACGCAACCAAGTGAATTGTACACGTCGATGATACCCTAATTGATAAACCGATAGTTAAACCTTTCGGGTGACCTAATTGTAGAATGACGTTTTAAACGAGAACTCGTTATCTATGTCAATAATACGAATTCTCTGATGCAGCTACAAGCTGAGTTCATTTCATGCTATTGCTATCTAAAGTATCTGTTAACTATTTGCAGCCCGTAGAATTTGTCTCATAATTAATTTACAATCGACTAGAAATTCAAAAATCTTCGTATCGCTACTTGGCATTGGCAGTGGCATAATTAAAAAAAATCAATAATTACAGGAAAAGCAATTTAAAATTTGCATTTAATTAATAGTTAGGTACCGATTACATAACCTGATCTGTTCACCGATGCGAAACTAATGAAGCTAGAAATGAAGTCTATTTATACAAAAAAGATAAAAATTTACATTTTTTCGAACAGCGATACACGATATTCAAGCTGAAACTACGTGAAAACTATAAAAATCACTTTTATTTCAAAATACACACTTGCTCTTAAATGTTATTATTTTTTTTTTTTCAATTTTATTCGGTATAGCGAGATAGTGGTTACGTTTGCACTGAGAATTTTCGATAATCAAAGGTTTATATGCATCGCGATGAAAGTCTTCAATGGCGACTTTCTACTGCGCCAAATCATAAACCGATTTAACGAGCCCGCGCGTCAACGATCGACAAAGAGGACATACATATCACGAAAGGGAGATCGTGTTGCTCGTGGCTCGCGAAACTTCCAGCAATTTGTTGCGCGGAAGTCATTCGGGGCGAGCCGCTTAGAGAGATCGTAAGTATTACTTACTCCTCGTTAAAGCCTGAGGATGACATCGCCGACGTCCACCGTTAACAAACTACTTGCGTTGACAATGCGAAAAAACAGAGTGGTCTCTCTCGCGGCCCACGTAGCACATACACGAGACACTCGAGCCTCGCTTTGGGCTATTACTGCATTAACGAGTCACTTCTACGTACGTTTATACAGCACCGACACTCCCTGATAAGAGACCGCCTCGCGATAGTAGGCTTTTATACCACGCCGGTCATTTTTTCTAACACGCTGCAAACACATTTTATCTTCGAATAATTTCTACGTAGTTCACGTTAGAGCATATTGGAACAGATACTGTGAAGGTGTAGGATCTTTCCTGAATCGAACGTTTGAAAGAAAACGTTGTGTACATAACGTATGTTCGATGTATTAGAATATACCATGCATGGACTACTTATTATACGAAAGATAACATAAAACGATAAAATACGTGTAAAATATGTATCTTCGTAATAATTACTGCAAATTCTGAATGTGATAGAAAATACAGAATGCACTTTACACCGCATTTTATCACTTTTAATACACTGTCAAAGGGTTAGACGATTTCATTTCATGCTTCATACATATGTTATTTTATATAACATTGTTAATGAAGATGTTTATTCAAAACACCTTTCAAGCACAATGACTTTTCTCACTACATGTCAATTCATGCGTAAAATTGTAAAATATTTTCCGTAACTACGACAGTCCCTAAGATAACCTCAAAGTGACGAAACCTGAAAAGGGCGGTTTTGTCTTCCACCTTGAATCAGCCCAGGCTGAAAAATGATCTTTCACGTTTAATAACTTACCTTGCTGGACAATTTCTCTACGAACAGCATCGTGAATTTAATCCATGGGGATCACTGGCAAACGCCACAACGCGCTATAAATTAAAACTTGACTACAACGTGAACGCGCGAAACGGTAATCGGAATGAGTACGCGCGGCGTCCGAGGCGTCACCACGTGAAACTGCACGCGCGTAAATATGTTACGAGTTGAGTGAAAAGTGGATCAGAACGTCTAAATACTAGCGATGGACGTACGTTGCGACTTAGAAAGTGTTAATCGCGAAATTGACCGACGTTTCCGTTTACACGGTGCTCTCGACAAAACTGGTTTATCATGCTGCTGTGTTTGTGCAGGAGCACGATTGATAAATCGACCTATCGACGAGCGTGCATCTCGAACATGCACTTATTGTGATCGAACGGATAACATTTGCCACCGAAAAGCTGATAACGATAATGAAAACGCCAACGCATTTTCATGCCGAGATGAAGTGAAACTGGAGCTTGACACAGATGAAGGAATGTTCTAGTTTACTGAAATTTTTTTTATTTACGATGCACTTTCGGAATTTTGCCGGTGTTCATAGAAAGAATCACACGATTTTATGCGCACTTTCATTGCGTAGTATCGAAAAGAAGTGTGTTTTTACGAGTATATAATTTAATTCTCTGTGTCGGATTAATTGCTAGAAAATAACTTGTTATAATTAGAAAGCTGATTGTGCTACAAATTTCATAAGATAAAACTTTTTCTTTCACGTTAGAAATGAAACGTTAAAGAAATTGCGATTATGTTATATGGTATTGTAATATTCATGATCACGATAGTAATATTTAATAAAATACGAGTAGAATATGAACAGAATATCTGTTGTCACGTGATTGTTGTGTACGAATTTTGAAATTTACCCAATTTAATTTTATATAATTTCATACTGTAATATCGACATGTGAATATTCTTTTTAGGTATTTTGTCTGTAGAGAACGCCACTTAACACGTTATAGACGGTGTAAATGCTTTTGAGGTTATGTTTTTCATTGTCAGTAATATCCCGTTTACAACACGTGTTTACGTTTTTTATAACGTGGTAAAGTATTTTGCAAAAATATTTAAAAAGAGTGTCAATTTAGAATAAATATAATTCAACCGAGAAACTTTAACTGATTTTATACTGATTTTAATAACGTAATTAATTCTGATCCTTAAAGTGTTTGCATTGAGGTTATGTTAGCATTGAACAGTACTGTAAATTTTATTTATTATTTAGATTAACAAATGAACAATGCCTCCTCTGTTTTTCAAGCGTATTATTATTACATTTTTGATTTAAAAGAATCTATACTGTATCTTTAATTATAATCATGCATTTTTGTTACTCAAATGGAGCTCTTAAAAATAATTTATATTTTAATAGTTATAGACATAAAAACACAAAATGGCAAAATCCATTCGTAGTAAATGGAAGAGAAAGTGTAGAGCATTTAAAAGGATAAGGTATGGAGCAAAAGAATTGGAGAGGTTAAAGAAGACACTGGGTATCGATGAAAAGGGAACACAAGAAGTTGAAATGACAGAAATATCAAAAATTGCCACAGGTAAAACACACTACTATGCGAAATATTATTATTTTTGTAGCAATTTTAACTTATTTTTTATTTATTTAAAGTTGTCGATGCTGAAACAATAAAGGAGAGTGCAAAGACAAATGAAAATACTGAAGCACAGGGTACAGACACAATGGAAGTTGATAGTGGTGTAAAACGAGTTTACAACAAGAGGACAATGAGGGATCAGTATGGAAACTATCCAATATGGATGAGCAAACGTAGTATTGCCAAACATAAAAAGGGTAGAGCGAAGTCACGAAAGGGAACAACAAGGCCACAGAAAAGGTTAACTAGAAAACAGAAAAAACAGCGAAACAAAAGTGAAGTTAAAACTACTAGCGATAACTAATGCTTCCTTTATCTCTTGAGTTTGTATTAACAGTATAAAAATAAATCCCGTTGTAATAAAACACTACACTCATACTCTTAAGTAAATCAAAAAGAATTGTCCAGATTTCTTTTCCATTTTATTATAAAGCTGAATACAAATAATCACGAAGATTATTTAAGTTACAATTCTACTACAGCTCTAAGGTATCATAAAAGCTAAGAGGATGGCAGTGATAGTATGATTTTTTCTATAAATTTCCTTATATAAATATTACATCTACGGGGCAATGCCCGATATATTTGACACTCTTCTTCCTCGCCAAAACGACGTTAGAAATTCAACGTGCCACTCTTTATTGGCATGACCGATCTACACCGTAATCTGAGACGATTCTCCAGTTCCACCACTCTGTTCGACAAATGCTGCATTTTTCTCGCCTCCAACTCGTATTCCCTCAATTTGCTTCTCATTTCGTATATTTCTTGTTGCATGAGTTGCTACGAAAAAAGGTAAACATTCAATTCATAATACACACATACTCACGTACTTCATCCGATGTACACACCACATTTTCGACGGCCCTTCTCATTTCGTTAATACTTTCGACAACAGATTGAACCTTCACGGTCATATCTGTTGTGTCTGTGTCTCTCTTCTTTCCTTTAGCAAATTGCTGAAAAACACGAAACACATACTCCATCGTTACTTATTCATTCCTTCAAATCTCAAAACAAAATCCAAGGTATATTTACAATCGACCACTGTGAAAATCTCTATCAAAGTATTAAATAACCCGAGACAACCCAATTCCCGTTTACACATCAGCAAAGATAGAACTAAACTATTCCTCGAGTATCTACATAAATTCTGCATGCCCGATGCGATCGGAATGAAACTTCCATATAAAAAGGAAGTTCCTCAGCCCTGTGTATCCGCTCTTTCCATCGTATCTCTCCTTTACAAGTCAAATAACACACCGCGTGCCATTGTCCAGCGTACCTTTTCGAGCTTTGTGAGCCTTTTCAGGATAATCTCGTAGTCTTGATCGAGGTCACCATCAGCCACCTCGTTCTCCGTATCTGCAAACAGAACACCCTTTGATATCGCCGTTCGAACAAGGAATATTCGCGGGAATCCCAATGGGAAACGAGGAGAGGAGATTCGCGATTACACACCGTGTGGCGTGATCGACGGACGTCTCGTCGTTGTCACTTCGTGGAAGTCATCCTCCAGGTCTCGAGCCTCGAACGCTGTGTCTTCGGTGTCTGAAAGAAATATACGCGTGATCAAAGTGGAAGGAATCCGATACGATCGCAGATCCTCGAGCCTTGGACAAGGATCGCCGTTTCCGGTTTCTGCACGACTCTGCGAAATATTGATATGGAGAATGCAACGTGCGACTTCGATGCAGTACACCGTGGCAATTCCTTTCGAATTATTATGCAATAAATTGTTACACACGCGTCGCGGTTAAAACGTGTTTAGTTTTACACGTTAAGTAAATTTATTATTCGGCGATTGTCTATCTCTGTGTCTGTGTTTATCCCCGGTCTTTATTTCAATCCTGATTTTACTTTACAAGTGGAACTTACTTACAGTTGGAACTACGCGATCTTTTGTTGTTTTAGCAACGGTGAGATTGAGGTGAATGGTTGCAGTTGATATTTAGAGAAAAATTAACTTGTCGTTAACAATTTTTCTATAATAATTACAATTTACAATTATTACATTTTTTATGTTTATTCTTGCTTCCCCCAAAAATTGTAATCGACCGTAATTTTTCTTCTGACGAACGAAGAAAAATCAGGTTAGAGGACTGAAAGACTCAAAGAAATTACTATATTTGTCTTTATTAATATCAAAAATTTTCCATATTACAAAAATTTCTCAAATTCGTATCTCTCCTTCAAGGAAACAACACCTTAATTACATTACAAACGAGAAATCATTCAAGCTCAAAATCCAGGTCAACCTGCTACATCCCATTCAGTTTCTCAAACCTCGGCCAAAATTGGCTGATCTTAAACTTGAACACCGTCAGCCATTTTATCTCTCGCACCAGCGAACCTCATTTCTAAATAGCGACGAAGTTCAAGATCAACGAAAACGACGAAAATAACATTAGCGACTATTCGTCTATCCTGAAAGTCGAGAAACGAACACCGAACTGTTGTCAACTGGAAGCCATTGAAAAACTTGTTGTCGAACCGTCGCGGACGTTTCGTGAGCAGCATTTCGTCGAAAAACGATAGAGGACTGTTACTTAGTCACTGTCGAGAAATTCTCGAAAACAGATTCCGTCCTTTCGAGGGAATAGCTCTTTTTCTTTCTCTCTCTCTCTCTCTCTCTCTTCGACGATTACTCACCGTTCTTTCGACAGGACTGGCCGTCTTTCTGCAGTTGGAAACCAGGCTTGCAGTGGCACTCGTACGTTCCGGGTAGGTTTCTGCAGAGCTGATCGCAGGGCTTCTCTGTCACGCACTCGTCGATGTCTGTAACGTTGGTGGACAAGTTATGCTAATTCGTGGAAAAATTAATTGCATAAACGTGACAGCTGCACGCCACCGGCTGATCCATCGCGAAGTCCTTCGGTTTCCGGACGCTGGACGTTGCGCAAATTCGTCGCAATGCAATATACCCTGGGTCTCTCGTTCAAAATCCCGGTGAATTTCTCGAAATCGGCTCGAGGATTTTAATGAATAAATTACCGGCAATTTAAATTGGCCAAGTCAGCGAATGATCGTGGGGCGAGCGGCGGGGAAAGGCGGGGGCGAGTGGTGCCATTTAAAGTAACTTGTTCATTGATTGACACGAGAAAATGAGCCGAGTATAAAGAAAATCGAAAGACTTAAACTTCAACGTTTAATATTTTTTGTTAAAAAAAAATATTTTCTCTGTAATAAATTATTTTACCCATTGCAATTTTTACGGAATTCCACAGAAAATGAGACGAATATTTTTGTAAAAAAATTTTTCCCTAATAAATTAGAGATAACGATGAATATATATATATTTTTAATCTTCTCTGTAATTTGCAGTGTATTTATGCACTGCAATTTTCGACAGAGTATTCTGTAGAAAATGAAGTAACATTATCCGCGCTGTTTCGTTAAGCAGAATCGCCGAAACGGTATATACGGTGTTGCAGTAATAAATAATTTCCATACATATTTAATAGTTCATTTACAATACGTCATGTATAATTTATCAACACTTTCACTGCAACCGCCACGTATCGATGTATCACGTGCCGCATAGGGAACGGGTGGAATAGGTAATAGATGACTCCGAGCATCGAAATAGCAATAAACATGCCCGCTAAATGTACAAACACATTCTAACCGCATCAGTCGTAAACGTAAACTGGAGTTGAGGAAATGAACTTTCACAGGAATTTATTCGACGCTTCCGGTTGTAAATCAAAACCCTTGGGAAAGTATTTTCGACGTTTCACCACTGTTCCAACTACTTTCATCAGCGGTATAAAGACAGTGTGAATTGCGACGGTAGCGCGAATCAGTGTTTTATATCCAAGGATAAGCTTGAGATCGTAAATTTCTGGTCGGAGAATTTATCGATATCGATATTCTGTTATTCCTTGAATGTCGAAAGCGGTGCAGCCTTCACATTTGTCGAGTAAACTACGTAGATGCAATGTTGAAATAAAAATGTAAGGATAAATCTTTACTAATTCGTAGAAGATGTCAAGCTCGTAGGTATGTAAATGCCAATGTGTACTTCCTTCTAGCAGCAAGCAACCTAACCATTTATGAGATATTAATAATTACATTCGAGCCTTGTTTTACTTATGTCGTCCTTGGATCGAGTGTTCGTTATTATTGCACGAATGCATTTCTACATTCTTAAACCATCAATGAAGTTGCATAATAGTATTACCTAATAATCGAAGTGCCTTTTCAGTAAAATTAATATTTCATCTTCTATAAAATTAATATTTCTCGAGACTTTTGAATTACAGTCCTTCTGATGATCTATCGCTAATGTAATATTGGTATCAGATGATTGCGAATGTTCGTGCCCGATTTTCAGAGATGGCGAGAACCTTACCGACTTCGGCACAGATGTTTCTTTTAGCGTTTCATTTCATTCAATTTCAGTTTCAAATGAAATCTGCTTCTGCACGAACTTTTGCAATCATCCAATACAATGACGAAAGACCCATCTGCAGGAAAACTAATTACGCTAAATTATGCCCTTCTCGAAATCGTTCAATTCCTCTCTGAACCATTTTTCGAGTAATTCGCATTTATGGTTTAAAATTGGACACCCTGTACAGTGTCCGAATATTTGTCAGAGTAATTTTATTTGTATCAACCGCCTTTGTACGATGTCAAACATATTTTCTCACTCTGTTAACTCTTTCGTCAATTCTACACAATTTTAGAAGATCCATCATCCACGCTTTAAACCGGAAACGCTTGTTTATCTTCGTACACCAAAGGGTTACTCAGTCGCGTAATTAAACAAACGAGTAAAATAACGTTACAGATAAATTACTTCCTCGATGTAGCTTTGGACACGCGTAAAATTCTCGGACAATACGCATTGTAAGAATTCAGACCGTGAAAGCGTCAAGGATATCTGGCAGTAGAGGAGGAGTGTCGAAAGCCCCCTCGTAAAGGATTTTTCTATCGAATCGAGAGCGGCACGCCAACAAGGCTCACCCCGCCTCGGTAATTAGAACGTCCGCATAGCTTAATGAAATCGCTCGTAAATCTATCGAAAGCAGCAGCCTGGCTCTCTGCTGGACACCACAATACGTTCGAGACCGGCTCGGTATTCGCGCAATGCTATCGACTCCGCGTATCGGTCTGCGTCAATTTAATTACGTCTAACGATCCCGGGGCTACGAGGACGTGCTCCTACCCTGAGTATCGATCGTCGATGTTTTACGATTTAACGGCGCCCGTTGTTTGCATCGTTAGCTTCGCGGAGGTTCGTTTACTTCTCTGCCACTCGGGGGAACTCCCCGACGACGACGAGGAGCGGTGAACGCAACCGTGTAATTCGGAGCTACAGTTGCAACAGTCGAAGCGTTTCAAATGCGCTTGCACTGTGAAAGAATTTGAACAGTTTTGCATTTTTTGAACGGAAATATTCATTTCTCTCTGTTGGAATTTTTGATAATGCGACATTTGAAGGAACAGAATTGAATTGGAATAATGAGACATTCGAAGATATCAACCCTTTCGCTGCGGCAGATTTTGGTACGCAACGCGCGTGAGGCGATAGATGGTCAATTAGGACCGCAAAATCTTCCGTTTTGATGTTTTTAAATTTTGAAAAATTTTAAAGGTAACATTTGAAACTTATCGGTTTTAAATTTCTTTTACTAAATGAAAATGGAAATATGCAAAAGGCGGAAATTAAGACGAAAGTGTGCCAAAAGGCACCAATGGTGCAGCGCGAGAAAATATTCAAAATGGATGCAAGCACCAAGATCAGAGCGCGATTTTCATTTCGGTGCTTTTAAATTTTAAAGCTAAAGTTTGAAATTTGTCGGTTTTAAATTTCTTTTACTAAATGAAAATGGAAATATGCAAAAGGCGAAAATTAAGACGAAAGTGTGCCAAAAGGTACCAAGAATACAGCGCGAGAAAATATTCAAAATGGATGTAAGCGCCAAAATCAGAGCGCGAGTAAATTTTCAAAACGCCTACAGGCGTCAAAAGCACAGTGCAAGGAAATTTTTGAAAGCGTCTATAGACGTCGACAGCAACGAAAGGGTTAAGATACCTAAAGAATTTATTTCACTGGGAAATACTAATCTCTCTCGTATCACTCTAAACCCTGTATTTCGAAATTTGAATAATTCATAAGTTCGTCATCCTTTAAAAACTCCATTTTACCTAAATTGCCCATTACGATAGTGATAGCTAGCAGAATTGGGAACTGATCCGGGGGGGGATTGAAGACATTAGTGCAGAAACCGGTCATCTCAATTCCTTCAAATGACACCATTAGTATAATTACCATAAAGAAGAGAGTTCTTTATTTCGGAACGAAGAAACAGAAGAAAAAAAATTCTACTTCCTGTAAATTGATTTATGAAGAAGTTTTCTTTTTTCCTCAAAAAAATCTTCATTTTTCGAGATGACAGACTAATTGCACCCAAAGTCTTCGATTGACTTGGCAAAATTAGCAACGAGAGCTTAGTGTACATTGATAATAACTGGTTGTGAATGAGCTGTTACTTACACGTACGAGATTCTTCTCGAGTCGTGGTTTATTAAGCAAAGTTTAATAAGAGGTGTCTGTTAGGAAAGTTAATGAAGTGAAGTCGGTAATAGAATGTAAAATAGGAAAGGTGTTACACGCGTAGCGTTGATTAGTATTCGAAATGATAATTTAGAGCCGATTTGCATTCGTGTTAGACATTACCTGTCTGGCACTGGTTGCCTGTAAATCCTTTGGGACACGTGCACCTGCCAGGGGAGGTGCATATCCCTCCGTTTAAGCATGGGGAAGGGCAGGCAGCTGAAAGGCAATTAAATTAAGTTACACATTACGCGGCGTACAATGTTATTCTCCAATCCGATAAATGTAATCCATATCTTGCGCTGAATTATAAAATCATTGCAAATCCTTTCTGTCCTTTTCTCATACTTGCAAGAACAAAAAAATTAAATATCGAAAAGTTTAACTTTATTCAAGCTTGTTTTATTATTAAATAAAACAATTGTGTAATCTATAAAATAATTCTTTTTTCATTTAATATTCTTTTAGAAATTATTTCTATTTTCTTTTCATACTACGCGAAGAAAATAAAAAATGGGAAAGTTTAACGTTGTTTAAATTTGTTTTCTTTAATAAAAAATTTCTATAATCCATAAATCATTCTGTTACAAATTATTCCTGTTTTTTCTTCATACTACATGAAAAAAGTAAGAAATGGCAAAGTGTAACTTTGTCAAGTTTGTTTTCTTTAATAAAAAAAAATGGTGTAATCTGTAAAATAATTTTCTTTCGCAATTTAATATTACCTCTTATAAATTATGAATGAAGAGTAGAAAAGTTTAGCTTTCAATTCCTTCATGCAATAAGAAGTACAATTGTCCCAATTATTTTTTACTCACGTTTATTGCACCCGAAGCTCAAATGAGTCGCCTGCGTCCACCCAGGGCAGCACAAAAAAAGGGAAGGCGTGTCGGTCTTAATATTAAAGATATTAAGGTACCTGAAAAACGTTACTTCGTTCCTCAAAGCAATACCAATCTCTCCCGAAACTTCGTAAATTCCTCGTCCTTTAAAGAAAATCTCCATTTTTACCTAAACTGCCCATTTCGATGGTGATGACTGACAGAATTGGGCACCGATCTGCTGCAAACTCGCCTCCTGAGATGCAACAGAGAGAGAAAAAAAAGAAACAAATAATTTTTAATTCAAAAAGCTTCGATAAAATTTACATGTAAAATAAAAACGATATTTTATGCAACGCTTATCATCCCAGCTCCTCTCTCTCTCTCCTCGATATACAATTTCGAGCACACGAATGCCCTCGGCTTTACATTTGTTATTGAGATTTATGCCATTTCTACGCGCCCATTGTCAAGCGGTGACAAGATGAAATTAAATTAATGAATCGATTGTTTTGATAGCGATCGGCGGCCGATCCGACACGGTACACGCCTTCATTTGCATCCCGCCGAGTCGATATGGAAATGGAAATCGTTAAGTACGGGGAGGACAATTTCGACGAGCGCGTTTAAGCCTCGATTCGATAAATACGCATGTAACAGGCCTCGAAAGCGGTGCTATTGCTTTGTGGTGAAAATGCTCGCTGGGATTATTATCAAGTCGTAAGGGATTATCCTCCAGCCTTTATTGCAACTGATTTTCTTTCATAGCTTTTATTAACTTCCATTGTAATTCCATCGATTTTATTGTTATTGAATCGGTCCACAGCTGATAGATCGACGTACACACGTACACACACCGGAACAATTCATTTGAAAGTATTCACTGAACATTTTTTTTTTTTATCTCGTTCAGCCGTATCGAGTGAATCGAACGTTTTTTTTTTTTAATTAAAAATCCAATGCTTTCTCATGCAAATCACGCTCTTTTCACCGGAATGCGCTATTTGAAAATCGCTGGATTCTCGAATGACTGGTTGATGGACAAGCTTTTCTAAAAAAAGAAAAAAAAAAAAAACACAAAATAATTTGCATTTGAAAGGTACGGTAGAGTATCTGCTGTGAAAACACAGTCGAATCGTAGAAATTTTCTATTTCACCGCGGAAAAAACGGATCGAGGAATTTATTTTCTCGATGAAATCGACGCTAGAGTGGTATGAAAAGATAACATTACGATGGCAGCTATGATCTGTGGGTAGTTGAAGTCGCTCCTTTCTCTCGCCGCTTGAGAATCTCGCGTACAAGTTACATAAATGAGGGAAGACAGTTCGGTTTACATAAACGCGAGAGGATCATACATAATTGAGCACCGAGACTTTCCCAGAGTATCATTTACACTTGAAAGCCTCGGGGAGCATTAACTCCAATAACTTAGCCCATGAAACGCTCTCGCCTAAGAACCGTTTAATTTTCCTATTTTCATTTTCACTCTCTTCCATCATCTCGCCACATCTAGGGGATAAAATAGTCCGGTGTAAGAAGAAATTAACAAGAAGAAATAACAGCAGTAATTTCCTATATCCAACTCATCGCCTGATAAAGAATATCTGATTTTCTCATATTTTCCTGAGAAACTTTATTACACAGGGTGGACCATATGAAACAGGCCGCCTAATTATCTTCTCTTGCTATGGTGGTAACGTATGTTTAAATACACGTTATTTAAATGGTTTCGAAGGGTGAATAAGATGGAAGACAATTTTTTTTTTTTTTTTAAGGAAAAAATGACAAAAAATGAAAGGAAGTTTTCAATTTTAAAGTCTAAGATAATTTTAAGTCATATTATTGTGCATGTTTAACCCTGTTTAGTGCTTTTTTCTGTTCGACTATAACTTGAGGTCTTTGGGTCAAAAAAGACCCATATAAGGTCTTCAAGGAAAATTTCTTATAGGAGGTTTCTTCAAGGAGGTTTC